AAACACGTCCTTTGCTGCTTACAACGGCTGTTAATTCACCATGAAAAACAAATAGAGAAACACCATTGCCTAACCATCCACCCGAGTCAATTATAAATTTCTCATCCAACTCTTTCATTGCCAAATATTCATATTTAAACTTTACAACAAAAGTGAGGCCAGCATCGCTTAAAAATGGCATCATAACAAAAGTGTCTAAAAAAATAGTATCATTTAGAAACAAATTTTTATTTTATTTTATTTATGCTCATATCATTATTTTTATGTAATTTATTAACAGAATAACTGAATAAACCTTTAAAGTTGCCAGTATCATACAGAAATGTTTGCATTCCATTTAGAACCAAGACACCACGATTTTCAGTAACTGTTCCAACAACTTTAATATTAGGATGGTTTGTCAATGAATCACCATCAAGACTTGAGAATGTTACGATAAAATTATCTTTCAGAATTGGAGGTGCATAATCCATTAATTGCTTGCTCTCTACATAAGTATTCATTATATCAAAAGCAGAAAGGTACATTAAAAGAAAAGTCTCTCCATCGTGATTTATATTTGCGCCAAGAATAATACCAGCACACAAAGAGTAAGTTGTATTAATTAAAGTTGGTAATAGTGATTCTGCGACTTTTACTCCATTGATATATACTAAAAGGCCAGCTGAGGGCTTCCAAGCAACAGACAAATATATCCATTCATCAATAGTTAAGTTTGCTTTTGTCTAAAACAAAAAGCAAACTTAACTATTGAAAAAAATTGATTAAAAAAAATAAAGATAAACAGTTGGAAATATGAGAGGTACACAGTCAACACACACACATATCTGTGTGTATATAAGATAAAAAGAGAGAGTTGATAGTTGATATAAAGAGAGTTGATATAAACAGCCGGAAATATGAGAGGTACACAGTCAACACATACACATATCTGAGTGTATATAGAGAAAAAGAGAGAGTTGATAGAAATCTTACCTGCCATGTTTGTGCTGATAATGATAAAATACAAAACAATGTTCCATTTTCAATAAACAATGTTAGGCCTCTGCCATCAACGCCACCTGCATCCAAAATATATTTTGGTTGTTTGTAACGTTTAATGCTGGAATCAAACATTAATTTTAAGCCAATTGCAAATCCATCTTCTTTAGACAATGAAGGATCGCAAAGAAATGGTGCTATAAATAAAGAAAAATTTCAAATATATTTTTTAAACACATCAACTAATTTTTAAATTTAAACTGGATAAATTGTTTGACACTACATAATTTATTTGAGATTAGATAATTTTTAAATACCAGATAATTTGTTTGAGAAAATATAATTTGTTTAGCACTGGATAATTTGTTTAAGACTGGATAACAATAAGACTACAAACATAAAAATTTAAAACAAACAAGTTGAGCATGGTACTACGAGAGACATGGTAGAGATCAAACTCTGAACTTCTTGCTTATAAAGCAAGCACTCTACCACTACACCACTACAGCATTAAATCTATTACCCAATATACTCATGAGTTTTTGCTTGTATTTCCTTGGTAGTGGCTTTGCAACTCTTTATTTTTATCTCCAAGTGAGGGTACAACTATAAAACTCAGTTTAATGGCTTTGAAGCTGGCCTGATAGAAAAGTTTTCCAAACTTTTTGTTAGCTCTTCAAGAAGCTGATTCTATCGACAGTTGTAAAATATCAAAATGTAAACAGTGCCATATAGGGTATAAAGGTGTCCCTGTTAATGCATTAGGTGTGAATGGAAGGTAAACTATTTGCTTTAAATTCAAACCCTAGCATTTCTTTTTATATACTGTATCAAAAAGATAAATAAAAAATGAAATGTCAATTCAGGTTTATATGTAGGCTCCATGATAGGTCTCTTGTTGGAATCAAATAATTTTAAAATGTTTAAATAAGGACCTAATGAAACCAGGCACCTATATCTATCTTTATACATCTGATTCAATATACATATGCATACAAGTAGCATAGTCCTGGTTGGTCATTTATATGATGCAACTTCAGATCCCTCACAAGCTTCTTCTGCCCTTCAGCCAAGGTACAAGGTACAAGGTACAAGTCAATTGAGAACATTTAAAGTCAATTGAGAACTTCTCATGACTGGAATAAATATTATATAAAAATTTTTTATATCTCATTATCAGTCATTTTATAAATGGTCTTTCAAAAATGGAGTCTATTTGATCATTTAAAAGTTCTCTGGCATTAGTATCAAGTATTTATCATCATAGAGATCTGATGTCTGAGTTTTATCAGACAGTATTTAAAAATACATTATCAATATTATTAAAAATATATAAAGCAAGTGAGCACAGATGTCTTCTGATGGGACTTCAGATGGGACTTCTATACAACATCTAATGAACCTTACAAGTCATTCTTAAAATGTCAAACGGACATTCTGTGCCTGCTGGAAAATTGCACTTAATAACTTGAAAAAAAAAGTGTTTTTTTTTTAAAATAAGTTTAAATTGAAATATATTTGTGTTAAATATATTGGTTTTATTCTTTTTTTCTCTCTCTCTCTCTCTCTTTATTTATATATATATATATATATATATATATATATATATATATATATATATATATACATATATATATATATATATATATATATCGAGATAGGGAGAGAGATAGAGAGAGAGAGAGAGAGAGAGAGAGAGGGAGGGAGGGAGTGTGAGAGAGAGAAAGAGAGAATAAAACCAATTAACTTTAAGTTACTTTCAAATCAAAGTTCACCCATTTTTATAGAGGAAACTGGGGATACCAAAAATTCATAACTCAAAAATATATATATATATATATATATATATATATATATATATATATATATACATATATATATATATATATATATATATATATATAAACTCAATTATATAACAATTTATGATTCATAACTTTACCATCTATTTTTGTAGCATTAATCCAAGATGTTTTTCCATCAAATTTTAATCCACCTTGCCATTTCTTAATAACTCCATAAGCCACAAGTTCAGGTGCTGAAGTAATGTTATTACCTTCAATATCTGTCAATAGTATGGTCTTTCCACTATAACCTGAAAATGTCTCTTTTGCACCATAACTTATCCAATGTTTATCTGACCAACCTAATTAAAATTAACAAAAATAACATACACATGTTTAAAAATAGCTAAAGAAATTCCAGATGAAACCATTATGTCAAAACAAAAATGTGAAAAAATATTTTATATAACAATAATAATAATAATACTAATAATAATAATAAACAAAAATATATTAAAAAGTATAACAAAAACATACTTTGTGTTAGTGTTGCTTCAGTCTGATTGGACAAGTCTTCACCGAGAGTAATAATCATAGAATTTCTCCAGAGTTTGTTAGGAGTTAATTTAAAATACTTATTCAACTCAGTTTCTTGTTCTTCATTTAGATTTTCGTGTTTGAACGTAGATTCATGATGTTCACCCATTTCTGAGCGTGCTTTTATATATTGACTTTTCCAGTTGACTACTTGAGGGCTGCCAATGTCTCCAAATGAATTCACTGTATTTGAAGGATATCCATTGAAACCTTGCATGTTGTTATAATATTTTTGATTGTATAAACTGCTTTGGTCACTAGCAACTGGTTGATTATAAAAGTATGGATTAGTAACAGGTTTATAAAAAGATTGTAACTTGGAATTCATTAATGAATAAATATTTTGTGGTTGAGGCACACTTTGTGGAGCAGTCATACTGTATTGAAGATAATTAGGAAAATTTCTGTTTTGATAAAATGCCGACTGATACACACTTGGTTGAGGTTTTGGTGGTTGAGACAAAACATTTACTTGTTTTTCTGATGGCTTCTTGAGTAAAGCTGCTCCATTATACACTGATTGTGGCTTTTGGATTGACGCCAAATAATTTTGTTGTTGTAAAGATGTAACTAACTGCTGCTTTTGTTGTTGTTTATAATAAGTCGCCAATAAATTTTGTTGCTGCTTCATATTCATTTGTGATGCAAGAGTCATACCTTCAGCACCATTGAATGAAATAACAGGACTTTGCATAACATTGTATTGACCATTTATACTTGGACTTAGTAACATAGTCCCTGTTTGACCATAAACCTGCCCTACACAATTTGGGTAAAAGCAAGGTTTTCCTGATTGATATCCATTTACAGTACCAGAAACAGGAGAATATGCTCCCATTCTTACTAATTGTAAGCAACACGGTAAAATAAAAGCTGTAACAGGTCTGCAAATGCAGTTATTACTTAAAAACTTGACAGCTGATTTTGTAGCCTTTGTTGACTTTGTTGTGGTGTTAGTAACTTTTACAGTAGGAGAAGGATTAGTAATATATTTTGTTATCAAAGGTGGTGGTGGTTGAGTAAAAGATTTTGTTGTTCTTTTACGAAATGTTGTAGATGGAGTGGTAGTTACAGGAGCAGAAGTTGTTATGATGGTTGTTGTTGAAGATGTTGAAGTTTGTGGGGTTGTTGAGCATATTTCCAGATCTCCATACTTAAAACATCCTGCACTAGGAGGCTTTGGTGTTTCCACATACTTAAATGTCCAATGTGAATCTTTGTATAAAGGTAACTGATGCGGAGGAGTCCAAAAAATATTGTAAGTTGGAGCTGCTGTTGAAAGTTGGAAGGACTTTAATGCATCCCAGGATGGATATTTAATGGCGGCTTGATTTGTCATAAATAAAGTAGTTGAAGTTGTTGTTGGAGGTGGAAAAGTTGTAGTTTGTGTTGTTGTGGTTGATGTTGTTGTAGTTGGTGGTGTTGTTGTAGTTGGTGGTGTTGTTGTAGTTGGTGGTGTTGTTGTAGTTGATGATGTTGTTGTAGTTGATGATGTTGTTGTAGTTAGTAATGTTGTTGGTGGTGGTGGTGATGTGGTTGTTGGTGATGTCGCTATTGTCATAGTTGTTGTTGGTGATGTTGTAGTCATTAAGGTTGTAGTTGGTGATGTTGTTGTCAATGTTGTAGTTAGAGTAGTCATTGGCATCATTGTAGTAGTTGTTGTTGTTTTAGCTGCAGTTGATGTTGTTGTAGATACTGTATTTAATGTGAATGATATATTATTGCATTTATTATTTCCATTAGTTGCAGGCTCACTGCAGTCAACATTATTTTCATATAAGTTAGTTACATTACTTAGAGATACATTAATAGATCCTTTAATAGCACTTAAAATCTTTAAGCCATTAAGCATAGTTTCAACATTTGTTACTTGCTCATTTGAAATGGTGACTTCATCTTGTTTGCATGTTTTACACAGCGTAATGTTGCTCTGAATTGGACTTGTAGTATCATTCAATTGCCAATTTTTATTAAAAACAGAATTATTTAAATTAATAAGAACTTCATTTGTTTCAATAGTATAATTTTTTATTTCAGTTTCATTTTTAGTTTGAAGTTGCGTACTATTATACAAATCCATTTGTAATTTTTCTTTAACTTTATTTTCTGTTATATTCTGCAATTTTTCATTACCAGAACTTGCATTATTATTTGTGTCTACAAAAACATTTAATTGAGTTAATGAAGTATTATTATTCAATAATTCATTTGATATTTCACTTTCTAAAGGAGTGTTTTCTGGTTTCTCTTGGTTACTTTGACTAACAAAGGCGGCAGAATGATACTTATCAATAGATTCAACAGAGGCAATTTTATCAGGAGCAAATGAACTTACAGATAGACCATGAACAAGTGTATTATTCAAAAGGATTTTATTTTCCCTGCTGGGGGTATTTAAATCATATTCTGGTGTAATACCTTGAGTTGAATATACCAGGTTGGTAATTAAATCTAAAAAAATATTAGACTACAAATTACATGTGAAATCAAATTTGTGTTTTGTGCAGTATTGCTTTAATAAAACACCCAAAAATAGGGGGTTAATTGTAGCTGATACCTTAAAACTTGAGGTACACCTTTTTATCTGTTTAATTTGTCTGTTTAATTTATAAGACTAAAACAGCTTTTTTTTAGCATAACTTATTAACAAAACTTGTAAAAGATGCAAAATATGCCAAATAGAAAACAAAATGATTTCACTGATTGAAAAAATTCTCACATTTAATTAAGCATATTAAAATTTATTAGTTGTTATAAGATTATCTAAGTAGTTTTCAATAATAATTATACTTATATATTAATTATTAATTTATAATAATTATTATTTACAATAATTATATATTAAAATTATAATTTCGAAAATACCACAACTAATGATATGTTTAAAACTTTAATTATAGTATTATTATTTTTTTCAAATAAACATGGCAGTCAATAAAATTTTTTAAATAATCCACTATGAAAATACTTTTTTCATAGAGGACTATTTAAAAAGTTAATAGACGGAAACCTATTAACAGATATCAAATTTAATTAAAACTGACATTTAAATAATATGCAGATATAAATTTAAAAATCCCTTTATTTGAAAAGAACTTTTGAAAAGCCTACCTAATAGTCTTCATAATAAACTTAATTATGTATTTTATTGGATAACTTTACACATGCAAAATTTATCATACTCAAATGTGCAAATTAAAAAAGCAATTATAAATTAAAAAGACAATTATAAATTAGCTTAAACTTGAAGAAAAAGTATTATGAAATGGGCAACTAAAGTGATTTTAATTAAAATTAGGTCAGCATTGCCCAATGCCAAACCTAATTCCAAGGGTTGTACAGGGGTGGGACCGCAAAATGTGAACACTTTTCTGATTGTAATAATTAATTTTCTGTTAAATATGAACTATTTTAAATGTTCAAATCAACCTCCTTGATTCTCGTAGATCATTTTACAACGTTTAGACCAACTCTTTAGACACTTTCTGATGAGTGTGAGAGTACAACTACATCTAACAAGAAAATAGTTATAATAAAACAAAAACGTTCACATTTTGCGGTCCCACCCCTGTATATATATATATATATATATATATATATATATATATATATATATATATATATATATATATATATAAAATATATTATATATATATTATATATATAATATATTATATATATATATTATATTATATATTAACCCTTTCAGTCCCAGTGATCAATGTGACGACACTGAAAATGGTATAGTTATATAATAGCAAAATAGTTTGGCTGCCATTTTTCTGCCAAAAAAAAAAAAGCCTCATTTGTGGTATTCTGACAATTTGTATTTATTTTATAGCTTTTTAATCTCACTTCTACAACCATTCTAACAGTTTTTTGTCTGGGAAAAGGTTAATATAAGTTATGATATATTACAAAAATATTAAAAAGTAATGTCGTAAAAAAAAAATTCAAACCATTGCCAATAACAATTTCTGCTAAAACCTGTGAATCATCAGATGCACCAACATGAACAAAGTTTTTTCCATTATACTGAATCACTTCACCTGAATCATTTTTCTTAAGTGTAAAATCTATTCCATATGGAAGTGGCCCTTCGCGTAACACAAACTCGAGCAAAGTAGATGTTTTAGGC